TCGTGGGGATTAAACGTTTCTTTTACTCACTCTGAACGTGTGTATGGAACTTATTTGACTTTGGGCTTCACTTAAATACTATTTTAAACAATGTGTTTTGGGGGACCCTTGGTCTGGCTACATACACCGGAAAGTATCCGTTGATCTCCTCTGTGAGAGTAAGGTGACGGCCGTCCACTAGTGACACGTCCTCGCAGTGGGTGCCCCGCACAGACACGACCCTCACCTTCGGGCCCCGGCTGTGGGGTGGCCCAGCTCACACAGGCCCACTGAGCCCTGCGGAAGGCCCTGCGTTTGGTTCCTCTCTACTGAAGTCATCTTGAAATTAGTGTTTTTTGAACAATGGGCCTGAATCTCAATTAATTTCACTCTGGGCCCCACAGTCACGTATCAGTCCTGGGCACCCACACTCACCAGTCTGCAGACCCAAGTCCAAGCTCCTTGGGGGTGTCCTCTCCAGTTTCCCCTGAGACTGGGCGAGGGGCATGTGCCATCAACACACGATTCAGGTGGGGACCTAGGGATCTATGGGTCCGACTGTTTCTAAATTCGACCTCCCACAACTCTCCACTCTGCCTCCCACTCTCCTCTCCTCTCCTTCAAAGAGCAGCTCGGCCAAACCTAGCTTTCCGTGGGCACCAAGGTCACTGCGTGCTGGTGGCTGACTTCTCTGCCATTCCTGCATGGGGCTGGACACCCCCACCCAGACCTCCTGTTGAGGAGCAATCGTATTCCTCTACCAAAGAGGTTGCTCTTTGTCAATGATGGGGTAGCCCCCCAATGTTAAACCTGCATAATGCATTGATAACCTTAATGACCTCTTTAAAGATCCACTCAGGGGAGCGCCCTGTCCCTAGCACGAGTCTCTGTGTGATCGGGGGATGCCCTGGGGACCGGTGCCTTTCTCCCCGGTGTTCACACACCTTATGAGTTTCACCAGTGAAAGCTGGTCCTTAACGCATTAGAGTGACTCATTCCTTCAGACTCCAGTGTAGTTTGCTAAATGGAGTCTTATCAGATAAGTAAAACAACCAGAGGGAAAGGGGGGCGAGGGCCGGTAGAAGAGCATTAAAGGGGGATAAATGGTGATGGAAGGAGACTTGACTTGGGCGGTGAACACACAATACAGTGCACAGAAGATGTATTATAGAACTGTACACTTGAAACCTTTATAATTTTATTAACCAATGCCACTCCATAAATTTGATAAAACTATTTAAAAACAAAACAAAACACAGCTCACTAAAATACTATGCTGAGACACAGAAATGTAAAGGATTATAGAACTATTTGCAGTACTGAAAAGAGTCACGCTATAGTTCTGAAAGACGATACAATCACAGAGCTTGAATACCAATAAAATATTTAAATAGAAATTTAAGCCAAGAATGAAGGCCAAGTCACAAGTCTGTAAATTATTCATTGTTAAATTAATCCTAGGGACCGAAGAGGGCATTTGGGTTACTTTCTGTGGTGACTTAAACAACCCCCCAAATTTGGAGGCTTTAATATAACAGCGGCGCTCTCATCCCTCACAACTCAGTGGGCCAGGAGTTCCGGCTCCGCCACGCTCCTCCTCCGAGCATCACTTGGACCACGGTGAGGTGCTCAGTGGGCCAGGAGTTCTGGCTCAGCCATGCTCCTCCTCTGAGTATCACTTGGACCATGGTGAGGTGCTCAGCGGGGCCAGGAGTTCCGGCTCAGCCACGCTCCTCCTCCGAGCATCACGTGGACCACGGTGAGGTGCTCAGTGGGCCAGGAGTTCCGGCTCAGCCACGCTCCTCCTCTGAGCATCACCTGGGCCACGGTGAGGTGCTCAGTGGGCCAGGAGTTCCGGCTCAGCCACGCTCCTCCTCTGAGCATCACGTGGGCCACGGTGAGGTGTTCAGTGGGCCAGGAGTTCTGGCTCAGCCACGCTCCTCCTCTGAGCATCACGTGGGCCACGGTGAGGTGCTCAGTGGGCCAGGAGTTCTGGCTCAGCCACGCTCCTCCTCTGAGCATCACGTGGGCCACGGTGAGGTGCTCAGTGGGCCAGGAGTTCTGGCTCAGCCATGCTCCTCCTCTGAGCATCACATGGACCACTGTGAGGTGCTCAGCTGGGTGGGCCTTGTCTCCAGGCACCAGGAAAGTGCCACACTAATCTAGCACCTTCCTGCCCCGGGGGGCTCTCTTTCCCTAGACGTCTCATGGTTCTGGGCCCTCCACGGGGTGGTTTGTGCTTCTCACTGCAGGATGCTTTGGCTCTTTCTTGGCAGCTGCCTCGGAAGAGTGAGGAGAAAGCAGGTGGACACTCCTGTGGTCTAGGTCCGGGAGCTCAGTGTCACCTCAGCAACATTCAGTAGGTCACAGAAACCACCGGCTTGAGGAGAGGAAGCACAAGACCCTCATTCCTCCTCAACACACCTCATAATGAGGAGCGGGTCCGGGATTTATGGCCATATTCAATTCATTACGGAGGGAACGTTCAAGTCAGACCAGAAGGGTCAGAAAAGACCACACGGAAAGATGAAAGGACATGGAGCAGCTGAGAACAGTGGAGTGAGGCTAAGGCTAATCATATCAATATCAAAAAATAAACAGTAAGGATGCTTAGCAAGACAAGCATTCTGTTGCTGTTGTTTTTTTTAATCCTCACCCGAAGGTATGTTTATTGATTTATAAGAAGTTTATCTCTATTGTTGAAAGTATTACAGATGTCCCCCTTTCTCCCCCACTGACCCTCTGCTCCCCACTCCTCCAACCTCACCCCCCTGCCTTCCCCACACTATAGTCTATGTCCACTGGTTTTGCATATATGCACATAAATTCTTTGGTTTATCTCTTCCAGCTCCCCTTCCCCCCTTCCCCCTGAGGTTTCCAGTCTGAAGAGAGGGGGAGAGAGAAACATCTATGTGAGAGAGAAACACCAATCTGTTGCCTCCCATATGTGCCCCCTGACTGGGGATCTAACCCTCAACCTGGATACGTACCCTGACTGGGAATCAAACCTGCAACCTTTAGGTGTACAGAACTATGCTCCAACCAACTGAGCTACCCAGCCAGGGCCAAGAATTCTAGGTCTTTTTCAACTTGTTTTGCTCTAACAACAAAAGTCACAGTGGGAATTAGCCTCAACTTGGGCAAGTCATTTTTTTTTTCCTGTTCATAAACAGGCTAATTCAGTCGAAAAGATAATTTCCCTCTACACGAGGTCAGCTTATTTGAGGAGAGGTGAATCTGAGCTTAGGGATTTCACAGGACTGATTGGGGAAGGCCATGGGGAAGGTCAGTCAGAAGTCACGAAGTCTCAGAAGGTGTTGGGAAATGTCTGCAGTCAGCTCGGTGACCTGATGCAGGGCAGCCACGGGGCTGTGACTCAGCCACCTGGCCTGCTCTTGGGCTTAGTGAGTTGGGCCAGGGTCTGAGAGGGCTGTCATGTCAGGGGCTTAGTCCTTCCGGGCCCCTCATGCAGCTTTGTTCAAAATGCCTTCGTTGTTACAACCATAAAATTCTGACGGAGAAGAGGCTTTTCGTAGGTTTACGTGTACACAAACAGCTCTCTAGATTACTAATCACTATGCGAGTGAGCTCCACGCAGCCCATCTTCAGTACTGCCTGGCACTTGGTAGACCTTCAATATTGGTCAGTGAACTGGGTTACTCATATTCTCTCAACACCAATTAAATAACATGCATTCTTTCTCACAGGGCTGCCTATATAATATTAACCCAGAAACAGGAGACTCTCAGTAACACACCCAGTTACAAAGGAACCGTTTCTGCCTGAAATGAGCACAGCCCTTGTTGAGTGCTTCAAGTTTTAAAATGTGTACGTAATATTTTCTTTTAATCTTTTTTTTCTTTTCTTTTCTTTCTTTTTTTTTTTTTGGATGAGAGAAAAAACAAAGGAGGAGAAAACAAAGCCCCTGAGAAATACTTACTTAAAAACCCACATCCTTCAATGTGTCAATGTCCCCTGGGGGAACCGCCAGAGCTTCCTAGTCTTTTACGTTATAACAGAGACTCTTTCTCCCCCTCGGATAAAACCACAGCCTTCAGTTGTCGCCTTTTATTTGGGCAGGAGCCACTGCCTTGCACAGCTGGGAGCTGTCCCAGGCTGAAGCAGGTCCGCGGCTTCGCGCAGCTGACAGGAGCGATTCTCTGTAGTTTTTGTTTCTGGAGCTCTAGGTGGCTCTTCAGATCCTGTTAAGCTAAGTACACAGAAGGAAAGGAAAACAGACACACTTTAGGGCCTAGGGACTCTCCGTCTGGAGAGAACCGGTTAAGCCTTCAGAGACCAGAGGGGAGGGTGTGTGTCCTTGGTACACAGAACAAAGACAATCAGTCCACGATGCTGGGCAGCTGGACAGCGCCCCCGCCAGGGCAGACCTAAGTCTCCTTAATGACCCAGGGATGGGGGGGGGGGAGTTCTCCATCCTCTCTGTCCCATCAATGTAAATAAATGAACCTGTTTCACACGAACTGTAAAGGACAGTCTGCAGACATTATATATGATATATAATATACTGTAACATAATATACACATATACAGGGTGGGGCAAAGTAGGTTTACAGGGGTTCCTAAATGATACAATCATGAATAATCCTACAAGAACACTCACAACCCTAAACCCACTTTTGCCCCTGCGCCACCCCGTGGTACGGATGGTTTCAGCCTCTCCCGGGAGACGGGTGAGGCAGCCATCGTCAGAAGCCAGCGGGCTCTCAGAACCGCCGGGTCCCCAGGATGGAGGCGGGAGAGGCTGCCCTGGGCAGCGGCCGCCGCACATCCGGGCGCGCGTGCAGCGATCTGGCCACACGCTGCGTAGCTGATGGAGGGCCGGGCGCCGCTGGGAGTCGGCTGCGGGCGCCGTGAGAGTCGGGGAAGGAGGGCAGGTGCCGGCCCCTCCCATTCTGCCTTCTCTCCCGCGTCCCATCCCCGGAACTGGCCTCGGGCGCCGGGCCCCCTGGAGCGTGCGCAGGGACCTGCTGTGGCGAGCACCGCGGAGGACCGGCCGCAACATGCGCGCTCTCCGCCGCCCGCGGGGGCCCGGGGCGCAGCCCTGGCCGCTGCTCGCCTGCGTCCTGGCCGCGGTGTGCCGGAGCTCGGCGGATGGCGGCGCCCCAGGTGTGAGGGGAGCGGGCGCAGGGGGCGGAGGGCGCGCCAGAGGGGCGCTGGAGGTCGGGCCCTGCGGGCGGAGGGCACGCCGCACCAGGCACGGTGGTGGAAGTGGGCACGAGGGTGCCGACGCCGGTGGACAGCGGGCTACGCCTGTCGTTGGCTACGCCTGGGGCAACCACGCTGGAGGGCACTGGGGCGGCTCGGGTACCTCCGCTCCCGGGCGTGGACCTGGAACCCACCGCGCCTGGGAGGCCGGGCCTTGGGACTAGGGCGGCAGGGGTCGGGGCCGGGGGCGCAGGCAGCGACTGGCGTCTTCCGAAGGGGCAGTATTTGGAAAGGGACCTTCACGGAGGCCAACTCCCTTCATTTGAATTGATAGTGAGGCTTAATTAGCACCTACTCCTCCGGGCGGGTGGATGGGCTTGGAGGATGTGAAACAGCTGTAACAACCGCCAAGCAACCGAGCAAAGCCCCAAACTCCCGGGAGAGAGAGGGGGAGGGGGAGAGGGAGAGGGGGAGAGGGGGAGAGGGGGAGAGAGGGGGGAGGGGAGAGGGAGAGAGGGGAGTGGAGATGGAGAGTCTGTGCGTTGTGTGTCTGTGCGTGTGTGTGTGTGTGTGTGTGTGGTTTTTCTTTCCACCACGGTCTTTGAAGGTGAAGTTTTTTGTGGTGGTGGTTTTGTTAAAGACTCTTTGAAAGAGGGATTTATGGGTAAAACATGATAAAAATCGGCACCAAGTTTGCCATGTTTCGCTTCGCCTGTTTCTTACTTTTTACCTGAAAGCGGTCCATGTAAGCAACCTGTTTTCTCACCGCACGGTCCCGGGGTCCAGTGCCGGCAGCCGCCTCGGGCGGTGGACCACCTCGCAAGTCGGCGAATATTGCCCGTCACTTAGCTGGAGTCGGGTTACTGTCCTGCACAGCGCCCTCAGCTTTCCATAGGAATTCATCTTTACGCGCTTATAGATTTTGTCATAATATGCTATACAGATGGAAAGATCATCAAGGATAGGATTATTCATTTTTTAATAAATGTCCTTTCAAAGGCCTGTGGTTTACAGCGTGAACAGAACACCTGCTTCAGCTTCTACTGTCCTTGCCCTGCGCCCGTCTTTCTCATTCACACCACGTACAAAGGATGGTCAAGGGCATGTTCCCCTCAGGCTGTGGTTGGTTCTCCATACCTGCATCACCCTTCATTCACCCCAGAATATTGCAGATCTGAGGACCAATGCATTCTGGGTCAGCCCTAGAACTTTGCTTCTCGATTTGGTGGTGTGTTGGAATTTCCAGGGAACTTAAAGTGCTACCGGGATCCGGCCACCAAAAATTCTATTTCAGTTTGCCTGGGGTTCAGCCTGGACATCGGGAGTTTTTAAAATCCTCTGTGACTTTATTTATTTATTTTTATCCTCACCCAAGGACATTTTTCAATATTTTGTTCAGAGAGAGTGGGAGGGAGAGAGAGAGAGAAACATCGATGTGAAAGGGACACATCGAGTGGCTGCCACCCACACAACCCAACCAGGGCCGGGGACAAACTACAACCGAGGTACGTGCCCTTAGCGGGAACCGAACCCGGGTCTCTTCGGACCGTAGGCTGATGCTCTAACTGCTGAGCCAAACTGGCCAGGGCTTTTCCATGACTTTAATCATATGCCCCTAAGCAGGTTGAAGACCACCACTTTCAGGTGATGAGACCTCAGAGTGCCCTGTTGGGTATTTATTCTGTTGGCCCCAAGGAGTCAGGTTTAAACTGATATTCCGAGCAGCCTTCTAAAGAGAAACAGGTGGGCAAAAACTAAAAGTGGAATAAATGAGCAAATACAGGGTATGCATGTGTGGCAGGTGGTTGTGTATGTATTGTCAGTTATGTCTCTTTAAGTCCTCGCAAGACAAAATTATGGAATAATGTGCCCTGTAACAGGCATGCAGTTAGGACCTAATTTTGAGAATTAAAAATGGTCTGGCAACTTCATCTTGTTTTATAGATTCTGTATTGATCTCCGTGAGATTCAGTTTCCTCTTTGCTAAAGGACTATGAAGTTTACTGCTACTTAAAAAAAAAAAAAATAGATGCTTTCAGCTACTTAGACATAGGTGCTCTAACATCAAAGACTTTGGGCTAAATTTGAATATTAAAAATGGTTAGACTTTTGAATATGTATTCCTAACACCTGTGTACTCGCACAGGCATTCATTATGCGACCGAAAGTGCTATGTGTTAGCTTTTACCGACTCTGACTTCGAGATGAGGAAATTGGAACTTCGGTTCAATAATTGCCCAAGTACACATAGTTAATTAGGTAGTAGAGCAGGAAATTTGGCATTGTTCAGCCCAGCTCCTAAGCTTGTTTTCCTAAGCACGGTGCTGGGCCGTCGCCCTGAGGTGCCTGGGTATGTCTCCGAAAGCGGGGAGCCACCGGCAGAGAGCGCCGGGGGTGAACCCCGGTGCTTGTGCCGGGCTGAAGGGTTGCCCACAGAGCGCCAGTCGGGCATAAAGTCAGGCACCGGATTCCCCTTACCTCTTGGGCTGTTTTAGCTCATGAAGATATGTGCTATATCTGTAAAGGAGAAACACGACTGGAATACTCAAACATCATTGTTATTACTACTACATGGAACAAATAGGAGAAAGGGTCCTATTTCTCCTTTGAAAAATGTCTGTGGGGGAGCAATTTGAAATGATCATTTTTCACTTCTAGTGACATGACCTATATGTCTCCTTTACCAACCCCCTTCCCTCCTATATGGTTCCCCCAGAGCAATCCTAGTAATAACTATCTGTTGGAACAAATATTATTTGAGCGCCTAGATGTGCCTGACACTGTGTTAGTTTATATCTATGTAGAAAACCTTCAAGGTGTTTAAAGAAGCAGATGAACTGGAATCCTATCTTTAATAGGATTGTATCTGATGCCTCAAAAATTTGACCCTAAATTTATCATCACATTTAAAATTATATAAACATTTTTAAATCCTCACCCTAGGATATGTTTATTGATTTTTAGAGAGAGGAAGGAAGGGAGAGAAAGGGGGGAGAGAAACACTGACATGAGAAACTTTGATCAGTTGCCTCCTGTATGCACCCTGACTGAGGATTGAACCCATGACCTAGGTATGTGCCCTGACTGGGAATCAGACCCACAACGATTTGGTGTATGGGACATGCTCTAACCAGCCGAGCCACCCAGCTGAGGCTATATCAACATTTTTGCAGAATTAGTTTAACTGTCTCTTCATTTTCCTGGTCTTCTATCCCAGCCTCTCTTCTTCCTTCCTGTCCAGATGGGTCCTATAGCCACGAGGTGAGGAGAGGCAGGCAGGTTGGACTGTAGGAGCGAAGGGGCCCCGATCAGGGAGTTGGAGGCTGAGCCAGGTCCGGACAGTGTCCAGGTAGGAGAGTGGCCCTGTGTGGCACGTTGGAGCTGGAGCACAGTGGGGGGTGCCCCTGCCATGGAACAGCCTGGTGCTGAGCAGTGACAAGGGCTTCTGTGCCAGGGCAGCCAGACATGTGGTGTTGGACCCCGATCAGGGGGTGAAGGTAAGGCACGCAGGAGAGCGGGCAGTGGGGGTGCTGAAGCTGAGTGAGCAAGACCTCTTCAGGCCAGACGTGCAGTGACAGTGGGCGATCGTTATATTCGGGGGGCTGATCACGTACATACAGCGAGTCAGGATGATAGGGTCACCCGAAAGGAGGGAATTCCACAGATCAAGTATCACAGAAGTGCACATTTCAAATCTATATAATCTTATTAACCAATGTCACCCCCTAAATTTAATTAAAAATTTTTTAAAAAGAAAGGAGGGAATGAGAATGAACCGTGGATTGCAGTTTGCAGCATTGCTGTGAATTCATGACTCTAAACACCTACCTGTTTCACTCTTACGTCAACATCTGTGTAAACAAAGATATAAATGTGTGTGTGTATGGCTCCAGGTGTAACCATATGTCATATATTTAAATGCATATGTATTTTATGCCCACTATAAATATGCTGTATTTGTGTGTGTGCATGTGTGTGCACGTGTGTGCACGTGTTCGTAGCTGTCCTCGGAGATGCAGCAGGCACTTTCCAGTAGTGATAACACATTTAGCACCCACATCTTGGTTCTAAATACCAGTCTTTACTAATGGCAGCGAGGACTTCTTGGAGAAATTACCGATTCCAGGACTGGGGGTGGGAGAGAGTCCAAGATAAGCCTGGAACATCTTGTATCAGAAGCAATGAAGGCAGATGGGTCATGTCAAAGGATACAGGAGCCAGAGTGAAAGGTTCCCACTGGACAAAGCTGGGTCAAACCGAACAGCAAAACCAATGACAGTCCTAATGGACCAGCACCCGTTAGTACCCACTGACCAGTGCCCATTGAATGATACAGGTATTCATGACTACAGGTGGATATAAGTGAATTAAATGAATCAAGTAAAAGTTTGATGAGGCACAGAATATTACACAGTTTCAAAGTAACGGCACACAAAATTCTTACTAATGAAAAGGAAAAAAGAATACATTTCTAGTAAAGAAGCCTGCCAGATGTAACTTGAATCAAATGGTCAAAGTGAAAATGATTAGCAAAGAGAGAAGTACAAACCAGGTGCCATCTGACAGGATGCATGAGAAGGACACAGTCACCTCTGGGATATTCCTGCCACAGACCTCTATCTGACACCTCGGCTATCCTGTTACTTCCACAAGCATCAAAGTCATAAAAGTCAGGAGACTACAGTGTCCAGAGGGACGGAGAACGGAGGGACACGGCACAGTCATTCTGAGCTGGAACCTTTTGCTAAAAAGTGCATTTCAACAAAAGGACCTCTGTTGAAACTCAGAGAGGCGTGGGATGAGAGGGTGATGCACACAGGGTTGTTTCCTGGTGTTACTGGCAGTATTGGCATGGCCCGGGGGCATGTCCTCCATAGTGATACACAGTAACCTTTTAGAGGGCAGTGGTCATCAGGGTGTCAACTTATTCTTAAATGGTTCAGGGGAAAAGTTCTTCATTC